TGGTTTTTTGCAATTTGTTTTATATATGTTTGAAAGCCTTTACGTGGTACGCTTCGACGCAGAACATGATATTCCAAGTAAGAAACGAAAGCAAGTGCATTTATTAATTTTCATTGATTGTTCAATAGTTATTCTTTGCCGGGTATTCATCCTACGGCAGAACACATAAAAGTTTCGAAAGGCACGGCCAACGAAACAATGAACGCATGTTGCAATTGTTGAAGAAAGTAAAGATAACTTTCCATCGCAGCAATTTACCACTACCCAAGAAAAACAACGATGTATTCGACCACATGGATGCGAAAGTGAAAATTTTTTTTAAGTTAATTCAACTTTCGTTTTTATTTTCGTTTATTATTTCGTATAATGTTTTAGAATGAAATTCTTTCTTTTTAATCAGCTCCTGAAAATAAAACTCAACCTTTTAACTTTCATAAAAGCGGATTTATTCCTTATATTTTTTATTTCACTACAATTTAATTCTAGCGAAGCGTTTACACCGTTGTTAAAAATAGATACGGGCGCTGTAGGAGTTAAATCCCGAATTTGTGGATTTGGGAATTTATAGTAGATAAACATTTTCAAACTTTCCAATCCTTGGATCATATCTGCTTCTCCGCTCTTCTATTAAAATATGCCACCGACTTTGAAAAACATAAAAGCTTAATTTATGTTTTCGAAAAATGAATTTAATACCAATGTTTAAATACATCAAAGGGATACTCATCAAAATGACGCACAACTGTTTGCAAGGTTTGGCGAATTAGGACTATTAATTAGGCAGTTGGAGTAAAAAGTAACAAAATAAATTAGTTCACTATCATTCACAAATTTAAAATTTTTGTTTTTGTTCAACTGTTTGTAAGTAGACAATTTTGCTTGGAATTTCTTTTGGTTTCCATTTACAGTTGTTTTGTCTTGTAAATGCATCTCCAAACAATCAATACTAGTGCAAAGCATCATCAGTTTTACTTAGGCCGGTTATGACTATTCTAAGAGAGTGTTTCTCGCCGCTACTGTGCATGTATAAAGCTAAAAACGTCGAACATCGAAAATGGAAGCTAATTACACCATATATAATCAAATTAAAGGAGAAGTAAATGAGCGAACTTCGCATTCTGGCAAATTAAAGGAGAAGTAAATGAGCGAACTTCGAATTCTGGCAAATTAAAGGAGAAGTAAAAAAAAACAATGATAATAATGAACAAAATTTCAAAACAAATACTTACTTTTCATCTTTTAGAAATAAGTAATAGCAAATAAAATTATGATGATAGTGATACTTAGTGTATATGCGAAGATTATCTTTCTTTTGTCGTCGAAGACAAGAGTTAACGAAAAACACATAATCAGTTTTTATTTTTTAACTGGTTCCATTCCACTTGCTGAAACTGTATTTTGTTTTTGTTTGAATCATTGAAAATGTTTATAACAATTGGTGAGAATCAATTTAAAGAATTGTATTTTTAATAAATGAATGCTGATCAATTCGTATTCCTATGTAGCTTCCTTAGTCGGAATTGGTTTATTATGGGGTGTTACAAATCCTTTTATACGTTTGGGTAGTCAAACAACCGCAAGAATTAAAGCGAAATCACCGTTAATGGAATTAAAATTTTGGTTACCATTCTTGTTAAATCAATGCGCTAGCGTTCTATATGCATGGACGTTGCAAACCTGCTCTATAACAACGGCTGTACCCATTGCGAATTCCTTAAATTTCTTGTTTACCGCTATAACAGGAAATTTGCTAGGTGAAAAAGTTGTGGGAAAAAGTAAGTGTTCAGAATGAAAAGTAGGTAAAATAGATAAACTTTTTACAGAAGTTATTTTGGGTGCTGCTTTGGTTTGCCTGGGCTCTATGGCTATCGTACTTGGCCAAAAGAAGCCAAATAATAGTGTTTGAATACCAGATCTGCTCATTGGCGAATAAAAATAAAGCCTTCCTCATGATTTCTTTCTATGGTGTTTATTTTACATCAAAATAATATAAAGATATTGATTTATTATCAAATAAATTTTCGGCATAACTTTTCTATTTCTAGGCGATTTTTTAACGGAGTAAGTAAAGTCGATTATGTATATTTAAAAAGCTTTGTGCACTGCATCTATAAAAACTTCCACGCTGACAATAGGAGTTTGAGGAGTGATGCCATGTCCCAAGTTAGCTATATAACGTGTTTTGCCAAATTTTAACACCATATCGGTAGCTAAAGCACGAATTTCTTCGGGGGTCTTGTACATATCCTGAGGATCGAAGTTGCCTTGTAAAGTAATATTTGGACCCACTTCTTGACGTGCTTTTACAGGATCTACGGTCCAATCCAAACTAATAACATCGTAACCTAATGTTGACTGCTCCGTTAAAGAGTGAGCAGCACCTTTAGCAAATAGCGTCTATTAAAATCAATTAGGAAAAATTTAAAAAAAAACCTCTTGTTTAAAAAACGGCAAGCTTTACCATTGGCACTAAAGGTACAGATTGTTCTTTTAAACGTAGTGTTAATTGATCGTGAATGTCTTTTAAGTACGGCAAACACCATTTTAAAAAGTCGCCCTTCGTTAAATGTTCTGCAGAAGATTCAAATATTTGTAACATTTGCGCGCCAGCTTTTACTTGCATTTCCAAGTAATCAACGATGACAGATGTAAGCATAGCCAACAGCTTTTCGCTGTCTTCAGGATAACAAAGAAGCCATGACTTGGTTTTGGACATTGTTTTGCTGCCCCCACCTTCAATCATATACCCCATTAGAGTCCACTAGACAATATGAAACATATAGACGTTACTAAATTTAAATAAAATCATTTTACCGGTGCTCCTGTAAATCCTATCAATGGAACTTTACCATCCAAGAGGCGCCTCATCATGGTTATAGCTTCTCCGACGTAGGCCACGCGGTCTACGGCTCCCTTAGGTGCAAGCCTTTTTAAATCCTCAGGTGTTTGCAAAGGTTCTGGAAGTACTGGGCCCTTAAAAATGCAATAATCTTCGTTAGGGCAAGTTTTTTTCACTTATCTTAAAAGGACTTACTACATTTGGACGCATTTCTACGCTTAAACCTAAAGCTTGGGGAATTACTAGGATGTCACTGAATATTATAGAAGCATCCAAATCGAATCTTCTCAAAGGCTGCATTGTAACCTCGCACGCTATGTTCGGTGTGCGGCAAATTGTAAAAAAATCATACCGTTTACGAATTTCTTGAAATTCTGG